GTTTGAGAGCCACCAAACTTCGGTGGGCTTTTGCGCAGACCTTGGCCTCCAAATACGACCAGATGCTGTAATTCATTGGATTCAGATTAGGTGAACTGGAAGGCCATTCTTCTGGTGTAATCAGGCCAGGAAAATTTTTTTGGCACCACTCGATTGTGCTTTTTGCCTTGTGTGCTGGGGCTGAGTCTTGCTGGAAGACCCAGCTTTTGCCACGGAAGTGCTCTTGAGACCAGGGTAGTAAGACCTTCTCTAAGATCTCTTCTTGATAGTAGGAGGCATTGATCTTGACCTGTGGTGCAGCAAAATGCAGAGGTGCTTTGCCTGTTGCGGTAACTCCCGCCCAAACCATCACAGAAGCTGGTTTCTGTGCCCGATTGACACAGCGATGATGTGGCTGCATGCAGCGCAAATTTTCACCCCAGACACGATTGTTTTGAGGGTTGTGAGCTTGCTGAACAGTGAAGATCTTTTCATCTGAAAAGAGGATGTCGCGATGTGAACCGTTCTTGAAGCGCTGCAGGAGGAGTCGTGCCTTTCTCTCACGAGCCTTCTTGTTTTGATCTGATAAAAGCTGGACTTTCTGTTTTTTGTAAGCTTTGAGTTGTAGCTTGTCTCTGAGAAACCTTCGAAGTGTTTCTTTGTCCACTCCGACAGTTGCAGCTAGCTTTCGTCCAGAGCATTCGGGATTCCATTTGAGCAGCTGCTTCATTTGTCTGACGAGCCGCACGTTCTTAAATGCTGATGGGCAGCCACTTCTAGGGTGATCTGCACTTGTTCCAAGCTCCTTGTAGCGCTTGATGGTGTTGTAAACTGTGGAACGAGGCAATTTCAGCAACTTCACAATGTGCTTTGCTGAATGTCCTTTTTTGTAATGAAAAATGATCGCATCTCGGGCCTCCTGCATTCTGATATGAAGAGCAATCCAGGTCAAACTTGCAGGGAGAAGAGAGTGGAGCCTAATGCTTGAATAGAAAAAAAATTGTAGGCTTGAATCAATTGCTACATGTCATTTCAATATTGTCCAAGGACTTTTGAGTCACCCTGTAGATTCTATAGCCTATAAATTCCTCTATACAGTTCTACTGATATGTTTAAAAAAGTTTAACTGGGGAACGCGTCTCACAAGGCTACGAGAGCCCCCTAACCTGAGTATTGTCTAAATGGAATGTCCAGGGATTTTTTGAGGAAGAACCCCCTTTCACATATTCAAAGGTGTTCAATTGAAACCACCTCTTCAATTGAGGGAAAGATGATTTTGACCACAAACCCGGATCTTAGAGCCCTCTGACAGCAGTGACTCAACCAAATGTTGAAATCTATTTATGAGGATACTCAATGGGGTTCATCTTTCATGAATAACATTTTTTTTAAACAGCGACTGAAATTATTTGATTTTTTTTTTAATTGAGTCAGCGCTGTCAGAGGGGACCCAGTTACTAGTCTCTTGTCATTCTTCCCCGCTCTGGAAAATGCGGTACCTCCGTTACACCGTTGCACATGAAGCGACTTAATAGCATAATGTTCAGACTTCTCATTCAGGCAAGCATCAGCTGGGAAGGCTCTCTTCTAGTTGTAGAAAATGATGAAAAATCGCTGCTCATGGGTTCTTCATACTTACTTCCACTCATATTGCACTAATTTCATTAGGTATCGAAGAAAGAGGATGAAACTTACACAAGCAGATATGAAGATGTCCATTCAGTCATGAGAGGGCTTGAACAAGTTTCTCTTCATTTCTTGGAGGGAAGTCTAAAAACTTTTGGAGTGATCCACGTACATCCAGATTGTATGGAGGTGCAGGAGACTGCCTTCCATTCAAATCGCCTCACTTTTTGTGTCTCAACTTTAATAAAGTAGATTCGAAGTTTTTAAATTAAAATTTATGACAAGAGAAGAGACTTCTCCTTCGAAATCGCAAACATGCCGATGTCAAACATTCCCAAGCTTATTATCAACAACGTCATTAAATCTAAATTGAGCACATACGTACAAATTTGCAGTCACAAGGACGATTTCTTCTTTAACTGCAGTTTATTGCATGATAAACTGAGAAGCAATGGATATGTGTCAGTGCATGAAAAAAGGGACTTTAGGGGGCAACAAGTATTTTCGAGATAAACGGCGTCAAATTTTTTGGAGGAAGAAGCAAAGCAACTCGACAATCTCCCCAAATTCCATGGCGTTTAAGCACTTCATCTCCAGTTCTGAATGTGTTCACGGATTCATATTATTCGCTCCCTCGACTTTAAACAAGTGTACTGGGGCTGTGCCTAGAAAAAGTATTCCAGGAACTGACTAATACCTTCCATTATGCAGCTCTGGAGAAAAAAATCGCAGGCGAATGCGTTTTTTTTTATTTGAAAGACAAAAGTTCCAATAGGAATTCTGTCAAAGCGTTAAACCCCCCCCCCAGCCAAGCTCCTATTTCTCATGCACTGACATATGCAGATTGGTTTTTGATGAAACATTTTGGCCTTTCCAATAAAGCTTTTTTTTTATCATTTCGCAAAAATTTGGTGACTCAATCGCAAATGATTCTTTCGTTATCATTTTCGGCTATAAGGTTTGCTGGATAGCTCGCTCTAATCCGTCCTCTTCTTTCCCCCTCACTCTCTCCCTCCCTCTTCTTCTTTTCCCAGTCAAGCAGGGGACATTTGCCACAGTCGGTTTTTTAATTTACGTCCACAGGCTCGGATTGTTGAATTATATGCATTTTTTTAGTGAATTCCCCCATTTATGTGGAATTTTCTGTCTCCACTATTTTCTTATCGAACCAAGGATTGTGGAAAGATCTTTCGGACACGGATTCCCAAGATTTTAATTTTTTTTATAGCTGTCGGTTAGAGGTCGTTTGCGCTCCTGAGCATCGTCAAATCCATTTTCATAGTGCAATTTGCACTGGTTGCCTTCTTGAAGCATAAGCGTAAAGTATGTTTCACACTTTGCGTATCACGCGTCTTTTGTGTCAACGCAGGTGGACAGGTAATCAGACTACGCGTGCACAAGCATTTACACTTATATTTCAAGGGTTTTCACAAAATGCAAGGCTTGCGGGTGGGAATGGGATGAGTTCAATTGAAACCGGGGTATACAATCCTTGCCCTCCAGCAAAAGTGCATAGATTCGAACCGTGATTACTCTGAGGACAAAGGGAAGTGTGGTGTTTCTGTATACCGATTTCGGTAGTGGTTAAGGTAATGGTTTAATTTATATAAGATGTTTCGTGAATCTTTTCGGATCCCCCTCGTATATATGTAAGAGTATATCATAGGATTGAACAGATCTGTTTAGGTATTTTGTCTGTCTATTGAAGAAAGAAAGCCGGGCGACTCATATGATAAGACATACACATGCGACAGTCATCGAGGTTGAGTTATGCGATATCGTGCGGAAGAAAAAAGTGACGACATGTCAGTCAAAAAGAGGTGTTGACAGAGTTTTATTTTATTTTATTTCAAACACAAGTAAAAATGGAAACGCTTGGAATGTGTACGACCTGAAAAAGGTCGAACTTCTTAACTCGAGCTGCATTCACATATTTTTCACCGAAACAAAAGATAAGTAATCAGGTGATCTAATTTCAGTCTTCGTTGTTCAATGTCCTGCGAATGCACGGCCCTGTGTTAAGAAGAGGTCAGTGTCGAGCAGTTTTTCGGACACTGTAGAACTGCCACATAGACACGAGACCTGTGACGCGACGAAAGAAGCTTCGGTTCTCTTCAGAGTATCTTCTTCCCTGAGTGAATCCATGCCTTTCCCTTTCACGATCACCGGATTCTCTGTCAGGAAGAAATCAAAGGGAGACGTGCTGAATAGTCACATCTACTGTCGCTGTTTCTGCCGATGGTACAAGCTCGGACATGGAAGAGTCATCATTTGAATACACGAACAGCGCGGCTTCACTTATGAGTGATGACAGATGAGCAATGGAGTGGATTTTTATTTTATTCATATCGGTTCTAAGCATTTCAGTCTTTTGTTGGACGATCAACTCCAGATACGTGAATTAGGCGTTTTGGCAAAATAAAAATAAAAATACTCTTGTGTAGTATAAAGCTGGGTATTATTCTCACCTTGAAGATTGGGATGGTAGAGAATGACCGGAAGCAGCAGGCACGAAAACCTGCAATTCCTGCTCTGCTTCTTCCGGATCTGCAAGGGCGATATTTATTTTCGTTGCATCATCTTGCATCACCTTGAAGTTGTGGCGAAATACAGTGCAATATTTGCTCGAGATCACGAGACTCATAAGTTTAAGTGCCAGATAAGATAAAGTCGTGTACTGCGATATTTTACCTTGATGGTGATATCCTCTCTCTCGGTTCTCTCGGCTTGCTTCTCCATCTTCAAGCCTAGTCCGTCGAGAATGCAAACTCAACATTTGTCAAAAAAAATACTGGGATGAATGATGGCAGGGTGGTAATGTTACCTGATGCAATTAAATGAACGGAGGCCGCCTGGTTCCACGACTTCGTCCGACAGATCTGTGGAGAGGAAAAGAACAGGCTCCAGGGTGCTTGCACACATCTTGTACAGGGTGATCCTTAAATTTGTTACCTCTACATTTACGTATATATAGAGAGGAGTGCATGTCCCTCTAAGAAACCGATTCCGCAAATAAAAAGGGGGACCTTTCCCTTGCCGGCCATTTGATTTTTGATTTGATTTGATTTGATTTGATTCCCGCGTCATGTACAACCAGCGACGGTCGGCATCTGTACGAATGACATATTCTGAACATATCTGAAACGACTCAATGGGATTGGTGCCGGCTTCAGCATTGATCAATTTCTTCGAATCCCCGATGTTTCCCAGTTTCCCTAAGTGCAGTGTTCTTAAGCGTTCCGCAAAGAAGTCCAGGGGTTTCAAGTGAAGCAACCTTGAGGGCCACATCGATATATCCATCGATCAGAAAATTAGGTATCCAGGATGGGGGCAGAGTCTTCTTGAAAGATCATGTCATGTTCAAATTTTGCAAATCTGCGTTTGAGCAAGTTATCTCAGTAGTTGAACCCAAGTGAACAGTAGGGGAAAAAGGCGCTCTTTCCAATGGTGTAACTGATTACCTCGTGGAGAGAACGCTTTTCTCTCTAAAAGCACAAGTATACTGCTTATGAATCGCCCTGTACATCTAAAGAACGATCATTAAAAAACTGGAAGAAAAGCAAACATGATGCCGAAGCAAGGGCTGAGATGAGAGGTTGTGATTTAACTCAAGCTACATTTAACTCCTTATTCTTCAACTGCAAACACTTTTTGTGAATGTGACGTTGAGAAGATTTTCGGTAAGGAAAAAATGTCCGATCTTCAATTTCAGCGAGAAACTCATAGTGGCAGGGAGTTCCAGAAAAAAAGTTCTTCCTAGCATTCACTTCTAATGGGAAAATATTCTAATAGCAAAATTAGCCTGTGTGAATCATGCACAAATGTGTGGTGCTGACAGCAGTTCCTCAGTGTGAGCTATACATACTCGTACTCTCATTTCCCTAGCGCATTCATTACCTGTTGAACCATTTGACCGAAATAATGTCATTATTATTTCCTCGTTTCTACTGACAGTATCACACACCTACAGGACAAATTTAACGTCCACACGCTTCTTCTGAATGGTGTGCTGTCAACATGTGGGAAAGTTACGCGTGGATTTCCTCTTCGCTGCTGTCGATTCTGATTTGAGGGAAATTGCAATTCTCTTTATCTCAAGAAGAATATTAGTAAAGTTGACTCACCTGATCTTCGATCTCCTCCCAGCGTGTGTTCACGGATCCTACGAGGGAGTAGAAAAAGCTCAATGGAATATTGAATGGCCCTTCAAAGATCGTGTATTTCTCTTGGAAAAAGTAATTTCTATTGAAAAAAAAAACTCTGAATAAAGCTTACATCTGATCTGGCTGAACGACGCATGCACCTTGTGTCTTTTCTTTCACAATGTTTAGGGATGGGAATTGAGAGGTAGAGAAGGCGGATTCATTCTGAGAATGAACTGCATTGGAAAGAGAACGAGACCATCAATTGTCAAGACTGTCGATTAGAAATGTAGCGCGAGTACCAGGCATGCGGAAGCACTTACCAGTACTCTCATTTAGAAGGGGAACATATCCGGGATTATATGGTGCGTCTCTCTCCTCCGGGAGCTTTCCCTCTTCTACCTCTTCTGTCGCACCTGAAACTCGAATACAACCTTGTATGTTACCGATCCATCACGATCTGTTGTTTTTGGGCGAAAAATTTAAGACTTGCGAAACTCTTCAAATCGAAGGATTAGATTCGGATGGGGACTCACTAAGATTCCGTCCAGGTAGCTGGGACGGACGGATGGTCTCGGAACAAGGAAGAGGAAGAGTGCGAGTTTTGCGCTTTACGTATACAAACATGCCAATGAGGACTAAGGCACTTGGGACCATGAGGGTGAGACCTATAAGAAGTCCATTTTGAGGAGCAAGCTTTCCGTCGCTCCTGCCATCTTCCTTTTTACCCCTTCCTTCTTTGTCTTCGGGTTCTGCAATGGTGAACGAGAAATACAATCGAATGTAGATCATTCTGACCTCTTTTCACGTCGCAGAAAAAGAGAATGTCAATAGGAACCTTTGTTCGATATTCATCATTTCGATAAGCACAAAGTAAAAGGGCAATATAGTGTGGTTTGTAGGTTTGTTTGCATGTGGTTTTTATTATTTTTATTTTTACCTAGTTGTCCACACGGGAATCTTAGAAACTTTGCATTTCTGGTTGCAAAAGATGATGACATTTCATATTATTTCACTGTGAATCGCAAATGCAGACCGACCTGACAGATTCGACCTGTCCTGAGAGGGTGTGATGGTAGACTGTGATATTCCTGGACATACATCGGCCACGCCGCCACCGAGAAGCCATTCCTCGTGATATCTAACGACGAGGAGCAAGATTTGGTCGGACATTAATTTCGGATAGGGAACATCGATGAGAAGACTTCGGGGCTTCCAAGACTTACCCGGGAAGACATTCCCCACAATCGTTCCTTGTTTCTGCACACGAGATACGGGGTTTGTTGGCACGATTGAAGAGTCGATCGCATGGTAGGCAAGTCTGTCTCGTTCTCACCGTCTGCCTCCAAACCAAATGATGCGATTAGATAAAAATGCGAATGAGGAGGCGGTATTACCACACGAGAGAAGTTTCCCTCACCTGACAAAGGAGAAGGACGAGGAAGAGGGATTGATTCATCATTGGGATTCGAGACGAATGAGTTTGAAGTCTGACAGTGGTGACAGAGACGAAGTCTTTCCCAATCCACGATCGTTTGCTTTCGTGGGTGAGACAGCATTGCAGCCACATTACGCCACATTTTATACCTGTTCCTACATGTTTTAACATGATGCAATGACTCGCTAGCATTGCTAGGAAATTACAGCTGATGGCAACGCCACTTGCAATCCATGGACTTCTTTTGCTTTCAACGAAAGTCATCACGTCTCTCATCCTTCTCTCTTCTTTACCTTCTTTTTCCCTCTTTTTAGTACATCTTCTCCCTTGTCTTCATCATACTGTATATGATGAAAACAAGAGTAGCAGTGGGTAGCACCATGCTACCCACTGCTACTCTCCACATTTCACTCTACCCCTAATATTTGTACCATGCTACTACTTCTACTATCCTCATTCCTGTTTCTACCTCTGTCTGATTACTGTTACTCATGCTAAAATCTAATAGGTATTCATTATATTTCTGCTTGCTATCATGCCGGCTTATGATCCCCTGGCACTCTCGTCATTTCTCTCTTCCATCTTATTCCACTTTTTTCCACACTACTTCTGGCAATCATAGTTTCGTATACTTATCTCTTATCCCGTTATATTTAAACCATGGTCATGACCAATGACTTTTCCTGCATTATCGATTGCAAGTCAAGGAATGAGACTATGTCCCCTCCTAGTTGGAACAAGGTATATTATTTGTGGTTCTTTTTTCTCATGCATCCTCCAAATTTAAACAAACATGATCTATTTATAATGCAACAGTGCTTTCAACTTTATCCTTGCGCCTTAAATGTTGGTGCATTGGGGGACAACGCAGGAGGAGCAGGAAAACATTAGTGGGTGATGGAAGCCGTGAAAAACTTAAATTGGAGCCCCTTACTTCAAAATTAGGTGAGGTGATAAATGAAGAGAGTGGCATGTATTCATCTGAAGCAGGTACAGGATTTGCTAGGAAATAGCCTTAACATAATACGAAACGAGAGACAGACGTTTATTATTAATACTTGAACTGTAACATGGCATGGAGATACTTTTTACAGGTGCTAGTTCATAGAATATTACTCGTTATGAGAAAAGTCCGAACTTACTCTGCTCAAATATTCTTCAATGTGTTCTCCAGGTTCATTATCGGCCAAACGAAAGCGTGCTTCAAAATGCAACACGGCAAAAGACCACACGCCTTCGATACATCACTAATTACATGGAGGGCACATTGGATATCTGGTGAGCTGGATGCAAAACATTGCTTATTCGTATTCCGTAATGTTCTGTATGCCAGTTCGTGTGATGCTGTATTTCGCTATACAGTCATCCCCCGAAGTTACGTCGTAATTGGTTCCGAGACCGGCGACGTTAGTCGAGACGACGTTAGTCGAGACGACGTAAGTCGAGAGGACGCAAGTCGGGGAATGACTGTATTGCAGTTCATGTAATAAATATCTCTGTCGTGTCACATTTTGCGTTAAGGTTATTTTTAAGCAGCCATGAATTAGCCAGTAAAGATTTATTCATGGGGATTATAGGTAACGACAGCAAAGAATGAAATCAGAAAGCATCGAGTGAGACACGGAGAAGAGAAAAACGAGGACAGTTGCAGCATATAGCTTGGATTAGCAGGATACAGTCATACGAACAAGAGGAAAAGCAACAGAAGTAGAACGCAGGAAAGAGCATTATAGCTCAGATATATCGGGAAGAGGGACATGAGGGTAGTGAGAAATGATATGAAAGAATGGTTTCGGGCGTCCTTCAGTAGAGACACGAAAAGCCGAACACGTGGCATAGGATAGTAGCAACATGTAGCATGGAGTGGAGCGATAAAGTCACATATGAGGAATGGGGATGATAGCAGAGGGTAAGGGGTGAGGGGTCTTCTCACCCTCTTCGGGGTGAATAGACTGACCTCGAAATGGTGCATAGAATCCTGCCTCCCAAAGATGTTGGAATCTCTGAAGAATCTGAGGTCAAAGTCAGCGTTGAAATTATGGAAGCTTCATCAGGACAACGCATCTTGTCACACAGCCACCCCATACTGAATTTCATGCATGAGTCTGGCATGAGCGTGCTCCCATACCCACCCTTCAGTCCAGACATGTCCCCATGTTATTTCTCTCTCTTCCCAAGAGTTAAAGAATAGGTCTGCGGACGGCACTTTCAACCTCCAAAAGAGACAGTTGCTGAAAATATTATAATGATCTCGGGTATCCCAGCATCTGAGTGGAAAAATTGTTTTGAGAAATTGTTCACAAAGATGAGAAAGTGCATCGATGCTTAGGAAGGCTACTTCAGAAAGGTGTAATGATTGAATGAAACCAAGCTTTTTCCTGCCGAAATGTACTTTGGGAAAAATCAAGCGAATGATCTTAACACGAAGATTCCCCATGGTAGTGCTGAACACTGATGACCGCACCTCACCCTCGCATCTCTTTGAAGAGGCCTCGTGGTTCTCTCTGGCAACTGCACGGGAACGGCTGCACCAGAATGCTTGTGAGATCTCCTTGGGTTCCCTGTCCATTCTGAAATCATGCATCGATCAATTCGGTCCTTGAGAAAAAGGACTCTTTTACGTAAGAAATTGAGTTACCTGAGCCGGCTTTTCAGGGAGGCGACATCTTCAGAATATATACGAGAACGATACTTTCCGATGGACGAGAAAGAGGACGTCTTGTACATCATGAGAACACCGGTCCCGTACTCTATTGCGTTTTTCACTTGATTTAGAGAATTTACCACTTGACTCAGACATTCATGCATGAGGAACATCGCATGCACAGGTTTTCGAGTCGAGTGATGAACCTTCTGACTCGAGTGAAAGATATTGTATACCTCCATGATGTGGTGGCTACCGCAGGATTCATACGAAGAGAACTATGGGTAAGAGCCGAGACGATTGCCAGGAACGGGAACCTTGACCCTGGTTCGAGGATGACAAACACGGGAGCAACTGAAGAGGATTTTCAAAATTCTTTGGCCGATGCGATGACCGAACCGAATGATAGTCGTACGTAAGTTGATATCAACAGAGGAATGAAGGAAGTGAGAAATAAAGTGAAACTTGTCTTTCGATGACGAGTGGAACTCGAGAAGAAGCACACAGAGGAGAAAGCTACTGGTCCTAAAGAAATGGAAGGAATCTCTAGAAAGAACAAAAGAGAGTCTCGAACACCTTCGAGACCGGGTGAAAAAGGGAAAACCATCCTTCGCGAGATCCAAGAATTCGAAGGAGAAACCACGACGATAGGAACACTTGTGGGAGATTTCTTCGCAGCGGAACTACAGATCCCTGACAACATGGTGAAATCGTTCAGGATGGGAAAGAGAGGGAAGGGTCAGTTTTCATGGAAGCGGGCGAAAAGAGGATAAAAACAATGCCGAGAACGGCCGGTAAAATCGGATAGATCCAGAGAAGAAAAGGTGCTCGACTGTCCGAGATTTCCCCCCAAGAGTTAAAGTGAAGAGGAGGAGCTTCATTACGTTTGTGATCGAAGCTCGAAACAAGAATACCAGAGCTCGCCTCCAAGGAAATGAATTACTCATTGAGGGCGCGAGGGACTGGATCGAAGTGAACAAACTAAACATAGAAGGAGCTCGAGATAAAGCGAGCAAGCAGGGTGCAGCAAAGAAAAAAATCCCCCAGCCGAGGTATGACGCGATGACTTCTCGACGAGTGGGGTTCCGTTCGGGTTTCTCAGCGTTGGAAAACGTTTTCATTCTGGGGACACCGATCATCAAATATCGCGTGAAGAAACGCCACATGCTTCTAGTACGAGGGTCACTCCGTTTTTAAACTTTCCACAGATAAATAATGGGAAAATTGTTGAGTCCTCTCATCGATCGAATGGACTTCTTTCAAGTTGCTCGTGTAACAAATAAGTTTCGTCCTGTTTCATCGACACTTGGTGAAATTAGAGCACTTTGAATGGAAGCTGGTCGTTTAATCTCGCTCGGAGCGATTCTCCTCGAGGCAGACCTTACCATCACCATCGTGCCATCATTTTTCAAAACTGAAAGAGAACCTTCTCAGCTGATGCTTGCTTGAATGAGAAGTCGAAGGTTTTTTGGTATAAAGTCCCTTTCGTGTGCAGCGGTGTTCAAATGGTGCCGCTTCTTCCAGAGCAGGAAAAGTGACTAAGGACGAGTCACTGACTGGGTTTCCTCGGACAGCAACGACTGAAGCAGATATTGAATCGTTCCACTCGCTGTAAAAAAAAAAATATTTTCTCATGAAAGGAGAACCCCATGGAATATCCTTATAAGCGGGTGCCCAACGTCTATGTTCCACCGAGTTACTGCCGTCAGAGGGCACCAAGATCGAGGCTCGTCGTCAAAATAGTTTAAAAGCCGTTTCGGAACATGGGTGTAGAACAGTGGTGCACAACCTTTTCCTCATGGAGGGCCAAATTGAGATTTCGGCTCATGTTCGAGGGTTGCAGGCCCTCGAACATGAGCAGAAATAGGCCGCATATAAATATGGATTTTTAGAGACGAGGCATCCAAGGGACCGCAGAAATAGGTCTCCGCGGGTTGGACATCACTGGTGTAGAGTCGAGGACTTTCATCTGCCGTGTGCATGCTGTGTATGCTGAGTATGTCGTGTATGGTGGTTCGGCTTCATCGGTGCCACAGCTACAATCACTTCGATGATGCCCACAAACAATAGAATTGGAAACTTCATTCTTGCCGTACCTCACAGTGCAGCGTTTGCTTTCGGTGTAAGCTGAATAATGGCGACTGCTTGATTGCACATCTCATTGCTTGCTGGCATGGAGAAGAAAGAGACAACTGATATTCGCACTATCGTGATCGAAATCGGATTTCAGGATAGTTCCACGATCGTGAGAATTCGAACTCGCATTCGTGAACGGTGAGACGCGAAGCAAAATGCACGAAAAGAAACCAAGTCGTTCACGCAATGAAAGAGAAGAGTGTTCACACTCTTCTCTTTCATTGCGTGAAATGCCTTTGAAAAGGTAAAAACTGTGAATATCTTGCCAGCATTTTCCTTCCCCAAATCTCGTTGCTTTCCTCAGGGTCAGTTACGTCCTGAATTTCATATCGTTGATCGTTCTCGTACCAAAGCACGATTTCAAAATGGATGAGGTTCTTGCAATTCGTTAAAAAATTTTCGGAAGTCGTAAAGTTGCTCCAGAATATTTTCGTAAATTCCAAGATACGGTATTAGTACTCACCTTATTCCTGTGGGCCGAGTAAGCCTAAGAATTCATGAAAAGAAGCGAATGCCGTCAGGCTGTCAATGGATCCAAACTTATAAGTACGAATTAATGATAACGTTGGAGAGGACTTTTTTGTCATAAAGCGGAGCGAAACTCGATCACTAGAATTCCTGATGCTAAATAATGGATGGACGACCAACCACGTCTGTCGTACGTCCACGACAAGAGAGGAATGTTGTCATTCATGAGACTCTCGCGATTTAATGTGTTACGAGGCGCATGGACTCGGCTCTCACGGCACAGCTCTCCTCTCCACTTTAGAATATCATTTATTTCGCAAAGCCACTCGAGTTCCTCGGAAGGTTTTTCCTTCTTCCAGTATCGTCCCGACTCCAAGCGACGGTTCGAGAGGGAAGAGGGCAGTTCCAAAGTTACTGACGGAACACCAGACTAAAAATGAAATCATGTATGATGTTATATCTTGAAGATAGTTTAGTTCAGAAATTCTACTTCAACAACACCCTATAGAGCATAGATACCTGCACCTATTCCAGTGAAAATGTTCTCATTTCTCCCATGGATGAAAAAAAGGAAGGCCATTCATGTTGTGTTACTGACGTAACAGTTTAAACAACTGCTTTTGTTCTGGTGCTTCCCTTCCAATTTTGTCTTATTTGGCTTGATCTGAAGCTTCCATATTTTCAGAAAAGAAGGCATAGTTCATCACCTTTCTTCATGCCAAATGATTATATTTTTTGCACAAAAATGAATTGGCTATGAGAGTTTTCCAGCGTTATTTGCGTAACATTTAGTCAAAAAGCGAGATTCACCGAGCAAGATTTTAATTCATTCAGATGGATGTAATGAAAAACAGGAGTAATGAAAAACATCCCACTTTAGGTGATGAGTGTTCAATGGAGCATATTTGGTCCATGTTTAGTACGCATGCAGTGCAGGAAACGTTAGTTGGATACAGTTTTGTAAATTAATTTCTTACCACTTTTGTCCCAATTACTCTGGAACTGCCCAAGACGTGGATCGACTTTCTCCATTGCGGTGATGGAGCATGAAACGGCAAACTCCTCGAAGAGATCGCATTGGCGAAGGAACAAAGTCTCGGCCCGATGTCGCATCGATTCCAAATGCCGTGTTTACGTATCCCGAACGGTAGATCGTTCGTCATTCCTCCGGCCACGTCGATCGCGTCGAAGAGCGATCGAGGAACAAGGATCGGTACCAGAACTGAAATTTCGCTCGCCCCCTGTGGTTCGCGGATCTCCGAGATGACCGGGTCCGATGACAGGCGTATCGTCGGCCTCAAGACATGCTGCGGATGTTTCAACACGTCCTTCGGCACAACCTTCATCGCCGCTCTCGCTCTGGTACGATCGCTGGCGGCCGAAATGACTCCGGATGCCCCGCGTGGAGTCTCTTCCAGGATCCGGACGACGGGTGCCGAAACTTCCTCCTCCCCTGGTTTCCATCCCGCATTCTCTTTTTGCTTTTTCACAGATTGCCAGCGCAATGAGCTTCATATATGGGGTTTACAACCTGGCTAAATTCGAGGATCACGAATGGAACGAGGACCCACTTCTCCGGTACGTCTTTTCGAGACTCGACAGCTTGGACGGCATCGAAACCGGTGAGAAACCTCACGATCCTCGAGGGAATGGAATGGAAATGGTTCCATTTCACCGTGATTCACCGAGAAACTTATAACGCTTTCGAACGATTCTGTTCCGGTGATCTCGGAGAAACTTATCGTATACCTTATTTCTCACCCCGTGAAAGTCGTACAACAACGACTGCAAAAGTTTTTAAAACTATTTCTGCGGGTTTCAGCTCGCCCGGACCCTTTTTCGTCCTCCATCATCGTTATCCATACTTTTACATGATATGAAAATGAATGTGATTTGTGAGAAATTTATATGTGAAAAATTTTCAATAAATTTTTTGAGCTTCCTTTTCGTCGGCATGTTTTAAACTTCCATTAACACCGCTGAAGGAGGTTTAAAGCTTTATTACGCTAAAGTCAGTTTTATGCAACTCACCCCATGTCTCTCATTTTCTCACATTTTGCATTCCGAAGTTATATAATTTTTTTTGCTAACTTCAAAAAAAACTTCTGTCACACCCTCCGGAGCGAAAGCGTTAAACCGGGGGTCTTTAATAGCTGAACAATTCGCTCCATACATGAAAATTTTACTTCAAAATCGGAAATTTCTCAACTTTGGTCATCTTCGGTGGAGTATTTTTCCATGTGGCGGAGCGCCTATAATATCGATTATGGTGTCGCTAAAAAGGGGAGCGTAAGATCTTTCCAACAATATATGATTTTCTGAGCCATTTTCGTTAAAAACCTTTTACTTTGCCAAACTTGGAAATTCCAATAATTCCCATTTTCTTCATGTGGCTGAATATTGTCGTGTGATATGTCTCTGGAAAGGTCTTTCAGAGTGCTATACGATGTTTTGAGTAAATCGCAGTTATACTTAAGTGAATTCATCATCGTGAGAGTCGAAATATCGCTCAACCTCGATGTCGGCATTAGTGAGGGAAACGTATAATTCAGAGAAAACCAGCATACGAACACGTTCTTGCTTTTCTGATGCACGTGAGAGAGGAGTGTAACTGTAACGAGAGATTTGTCTTTTTCCTCGCCACATACGGATGTTTTTGGTGTAAAATTGCCTAAATTTCACATTTTCAAACTCAACTATGATGCTGAAATATCATTCAAACCTCCAATGATGTATGGAGCGAATTGTTCAGCTATTAAAGACCTCCAGTTTAAGTTCAATGTTGGTCTCTCAGACGACGCGGAATAGAATTTCTTGTGACCACACCGGATTCGATGGAGCAAGGCATTTGTTTTGCTGTATGGCTCATTACAAATAAAGTCTCGGATACAAAACAGTGCACCCAGGTAAAGAGCATTTCCGACATCTCTAGTCAGGCAAAAACTTCATGCAGTTTAAAGGTGCACATTTAAAGAGTTATCATTAACGATGTCATATCAACAAACATGGTACTTTTAGCAGGAACATCCGGCATTATTGCGGGATTTCCCTTGTCTACCCCCTCATTTATTTTTGTTTCCTTCAACGTCTCCAAACAAATAATATTCCAGCCATATTCTGATATGAAGTAGTGTGAAAACCATTTTCAAAAGACTTTCCCTTTCTTCAACCCCCGCTCTTCTCTGCGGGGCTCACTAACGTTCAGTGGAGTAGCTAGAGGAGGGAGAGAGACTGAAGCACCCCCTAACTCCAGTCTTAATGGGTCCGCCATCCCCTCCCCATCCCCTCAGCCTAGGAGAAGTTACTAGCCCCTCCCCTGCCCCCCTTTGGCAAAACCCTGGCAAAGCCACTGCTGACGTTAGGCCTTGGCCTGTCTTCAGGTCGGGCCTAAGCCGAGGCCTACCTTTTGTCGTTCAAAATAAATCGAAATTCTTGACTAACAGGGACAGATAGGCCTATAAAGGTCGATCTCAGGACTCTCGAGATGTCTCGCTGAGAATGAGTAACGTTATGGCCAATTATAGCTTTCGCGAAGCACTTAAGGGGGGATGTGAAACGTTAAACCGATTATGAGCCTGTTTCGAGTTTCCGAATCATTTCAATGAAGACTGTAACCATAGGCCTATTTGAAGTTACCCGAAACATCTCGATTAGGTTCGCAAAGAGAATGCCCCGAGATTGAAATACATGCAGGGTACCATCGTCAGTCAGGATGTCCATGCACGGTATCGCCATATCATACCTTATCTAATGGCCACCGCTTACCACTGCTTCAGTCTCACCTCATCCTATGAACTCAGAGCAAATGTATACAATAAAATTAAAAATTAAAGTCAAGACATCGATACGAACGCAGAAACAGTCATGAATCTCACATAACTCCAGCACAATATCTAGCAACCATGGGGGACGTGACTGGAGCCAGCACGCTAAGTCTAAATGAAAAACAGCTAATTTCATTTTTTTGTAGCGACATTTTGCATTGTAAGAAACAAAAAAGGGTACTTTGCGCTACCTACAAGTAAATATCTTTATTTTCGTGGGGTTGACTCCTTCGAAAACCCCCCCAGGAACGGCTACCCAGGTGAGAATTAAAAAAAAATACTGGAATGAAATTCAAATCCCCCAAAATCTCCATTCAGTGTCCTCTGCAACTGCGGAGAATTGGAGCTTCAAATTTGCAGATGCGATTCTGTGTTGAGAAGGTAAGAAGCATGCTCAATTTAGTTCCTGTTGTTACTCTCAGAGGAGTACGAGGAAGTTGAATTTTTTTTTCAGGAAGGGGTTGAAGAAAGGTAATAGGTGCTACTGCGCCTATTGATGAAAACATTTTCCAGCATTAGTGAATCTTGCCGTTCCTTCCTCGAGACTCCTACGGAGAAAAAGAAATTCTTCACTGACAAAAAAAGGAAAAATTAATATTAAAAAATATGGAAATCAACTTTGACTATGAAAGTGACGCATTCCGGTAACGGAATAATCCAGACGGCATGCACTAGTCATGCAAAACTGGACCAAGTGGATTCACCGGTGTAAGACATTGAGAGGTACTATTTATGAAGCAGCGTTCGCTATAAACATTTGCAGAAACTCTGGGCAATTCCAGTGGGAGACCGCAATTCCTTCTTTTCCAAGCAAAAAAGGAAGCTAGCTACTGGAAAAAGAAATCTTTAATGCGAGTTCACCATAAAAAAAAGAAAGAAGAGTAAGAGAGTGAATTGAGCTCTCTCTCCCTCTCTGTAATCTCCGCTCTCACCCTTCCTTGGAAAGGGCTGTTATCAGTCGGTGACAAGAGAAGGCTGAGAGCCACTAACAAACTCTCGTAAGAGAACATCGTGACCCTGCCAATCAACCAATCATGTCTCTCAAACTTCTTCTGGGAGCAGTTTCACTTTTAACTTTATAGTAGCTTTACCATTAAACGTTTTCAAACGAAACCTCATATAGCCCAGACTCGGTCCCGTAGTTGATACCAAATTTTTAAGCCTATTTTTGGAAAATTTTGGAACAAGAAACGAAATGACCGACTTTACTGACGATTTTCCATCAAGGAAATAATATTTTAAAACGTAAATCATACTTTCCCAATTAGACCTATCACTACGTTAAACTTCGTCACTCGATCCCCTTTAGCTCCCCGAGCTTTTTGGATCCACCCAACCGTAATGGCGGGATGCCGCTTAGCCTTGCAACCACTTAGGAGAAGCTCGGAAATATGAAACATGATTGTCCCCTTTCCCCGAAGGTGTTTCGTGTTTCCTGATGTCTCTTCTTGGATGGAGTATCGCATACGGAGTTGCATCCGTCGTTCTCTTTTACGCCGCCCTACGGGTCAGAATATGACATATCCGAGCTTCGTTTCGTAATCATTCTCGACGAGTGAAAAAAGCGATGGGACAATGTTGTATTGCAGAACCACGCCATTCTGCACGTGCCCTGGTTGATTCTGCATCTGATTTCCATTCTGGGTTGCCTGATCGTTGGAAGCATCCTTCTCGAAGCCACGAATGCCCTTCGGAAGTCTTTCGCTCCAAAACTCCTCATGTTCATCGTACTCATCGGTGAGTAGATCGATACGATCGATCGATTGCCTGATTTAGACGATGCCGATCCTCTCTCGGAATCTGACAGTGGGGATGATCTACGGGTGGATGGTGGTGGCAAGCAATTTCTGTCGAGAGAAACACATGGAGGAAGATGTGTTCCCCGAGGAGGAATACGATCATCGTGGCATGAGAAATCATTCAGGGCTCTCAGCTAAGCTCTCGCGCGAGGAATATCTGCCAGAAGTCCAGATCAGAGACGAGACTTTCCATTTCCCTTTGACAGCCCCTTATCCCACTCCGATCAGGAACCATGGAGTGGAACTGAGAAAGAAGGCTTTCTATCTGCCTCCAATCATCCCTTATCAGCTATCGACTGGAAACATGCAAAAACTCCAAGGTTTTATCTAATTCCTGTTCCCCACCTCATAGCTGCCCTGAATACTCGTGGGCGTCCACAACACCCTCATTTGCGAAACATTCTTTTCAAGCATTCCTTTCGAAAGGAACTCAATCACCTTGAATATCCTCAGTGAAACGTCATTACTGAATTTTTTGTAAAAGCACAGAGTTTGCGCACATTGCAAAGGCTGTCATTTGGGACACAAAAATAAAGGGGTTAAAGCTTTAATTGATCTTTCATTTCATTATAGGAATGGTTTTTTTCCGAGAGAAATTTGGAAGAGAAAATGTGATGCAATAATCAGGAGCTTTCTTTAATATATCTGGAACATCAGTACAGGAAACATGCATGCAATGAATTGATCATGGAATCGATTCCCCTCAGTGACCCGCATCGAGTAGAGAATCCACGGGAAAATAGAAGGAATCGCTCGGCATCTCCAGGAATAGTCGATATGCCACAAATCACTGGAAAACTGCTGATGAAAGTATTATTTGAAGTTCGTGTACGTGAACACTCATGGGAATGTAGTAAGCATGGAAACTTGTGAGGGAAGCCCGTTTGGATGGAGGGGAATCCTGGAGAACAATAAGGTCGAAGCTGTAAGCACTAATCCAGGGAACCGGCTTCCAAGTGCGCGTCCCTCGGATCGCTGATTCTGACAGTGGGGGTTCTGGCTGGGCGAACGGGTTCATCACTGGCATCGTTCTGGAAGGCGCTATTATCGTACCCACCCATGCTGGAACCTGCCGAAGATCGCTGGCCGCTGTAGCTCATGGATGCCCTACCCGGCCCGCTCCCTGCACGAATTGAACAAAATCCCTGAATGCAACCGTCCATTCTTGGCAGCTTCGCGTATGTAAATAGCTCGGTATGCATAAAAAAAGGTCCTGATAACCGTGGATTCAGAATCTCAAATGACAGAAAATGGAAATCAACTAATGGAATCATCCAAGAGGTCTATTTTCTTATATGATAAGTGAAAAACGACAGTAAATTGGAAGTTCTCGGTGGCGCTCTGAATTGGCGGTTTCGAACCAGTAGCTGTTAAACGCTCTAGAAAGGTTAATAATGGAACCGGCATAAGATTTGTTGGGAGCCTACCGATGCTACTTGTCATCCTTCTTCCTGCATTGGCCTGAAACAAGGTATCCCGTCGTTTCAAGATGGATTTCCTCATCACCTCCTGAGCCATTGTCATCCTTCGTCCTGCTCCTCCCGTCATCGCCGAAGCTGAAATGCAAAATCGTCATTCCTCTCATTCCAAGCTTAATCAGGAAAAAAATCGGCTGATGGTGGAGGGGAAGAAGGTCACCGAGCCCATCCAATTTATCGTCTTGCTGAAATCTTTTCTGGAACGCGGCGTCCAGGGTCCTCGTGTGCCTCCTCCGAAGTTGTTCGCGATTTTTTTCCAGGAAAGTAACAGTATTGCGCCTTTCGAAAGTTTTCCTCCGTTCCTCCAGTGGTCCTCCAATTTCACCGTCACCCCCTGTTTCGTCGTCCACACCTCTCAGTCTCTGCTGCTTCTTCACGTAATTCACGACTATCTCCGCGTTCGTCTTGTCGTTCGTTGCCTTGCTGGCCTGAAACACGAATGCGAGCTCGGGACGATTGTGATCGATTCCAGGTAAGGATGTCGTGCGAATATGAAAATGATTGGTCTCACGAATCGAGTGAATATGTCGGTCGTGGCCATGATCTGGCTGAAGGTGGCCATTCGATGCCAAATCATCGCCACGAACTGGACGATAAGGATCACGGCGAAGAAGATGACGAAAACGAGTCCAATCGGTTCTAGCTCCAGATATTGCTTGCTGATTTCCACCTTGAGGTTGGGAAGGGATCACATATAAAATTGTAGATATAAGTATTCCTGGGGTCAGTATAAGTCCATCATAATGATGGAAGAAGTATTGTTCATGGGCTTCTTGCTTTCGATGACCGAGTTTTCAGTCACGGGTTGCTGAACCATCGAATCGCAAAGCGAAGCAATTCGTCCTAAGACGGATGTGCGACAAGATTTCGAGAGCAGAATTTTCGAAATTGCTCCCGAGTTGTTAGTGCGCAGTTCTCGAATCCCTGTCTGCTATTGATGCCACTTGAAGATTTTGCGGAGGGGCTCAATAGGGTAATCATAAAGAAAGTTCCTCCCTTCAGCGCACCATACCTTTCAAACGGTATGGTATGGGAAGATGAAATTGCATAGGGGTATTAAGGGAACCTTGGGGATGAAAATACTACAGTTGTCACATGTTGCCACCACGGGCGCCACTATGACCTGATGTCTAATCAATCACAACAACTGTTCAACATGTGCTCCTCCAGCGTCCAGAATGCATTTGCATCCGTGTGAAAACGGACATTACAGCAGCAACGCGCATCTAAGCTGGCATGCAGGCCACTTCTTGGCACGCTAGTCAATTTCATGTCAGTTGAATGAGCTGCACTGCGATCGATAGGCCCATGGAAGTATGGGAAATATGCGAAGTATACGAAAGAAGCCACGGTAGGGCCCTAGTGGCAACATGTGACAACTCTAGCGTTTTCATTCCCATGGATTCCTTACTACCCCTGTGCAATTTTACCTTCCTATGCCATATTGTTTGTGAGTTACGAGGGCCACTTGAAAAGTTATCTACCCGAGTATGAAAGAGGAGAGGTAAAAACTTTTTCTTACCAGCGTTAGATACATTGGCCTATAAGTATTACTTGAGGGAGTAATAGGTCAGTGGCGTTTCTGCTATGTAGAAAATTGAAAATTGTTGAAATGGACAAGACGAAGCTAGAGTATCGAGCTGTTATGAAGTTCCTCACAAAATAAAGGATTTCACCCAAAGAAGTCTTTGAGCGTTTGAGAAACGTGTATGGCGAAGGTTCTCCTTCCTATTACTGAGTAAAATTTTAATGCGAACAGTTCAAGTGGAGGAGGGAGTCTTTAGAGGATGACCCCCGATCAGGTCGCCAAGGTGATTACTTTGAAGGTGATTCCAGTAAATAGCTCCAAGATTCCAGGCCAAAAAAATGGTAAGTCATGTTCTAAAACTTTTGGATCAAGCTATGGAAAACTGTCAAGTTTGTATATTTAAGGTAGACTCAGATGTTCTTTTATTTTCGAAATCTGTCGAAATTTGTTCCAGTGAGAAAATTGTAAAACGCATCGGTTACATCCGGATCGATCTGTATAACCTCATGAAGGTATTGAGAAAGAGATTTGCATTGAAAGAAGACCCTATGCGATGACTGTGATGGAAATGACTCCCTGCACTCGAGATTCTTGGGTTGAGAAAAAATGGAATCTCACCATATGAATGCTGTGCTTCTCGTTGGGCATGAGGTAAGATATATTGGTCTTGACACCAAGGGGCCAGTCGATATGTAGGGTGTCCTTGTTGAGTTGAAGGAGAAAAACAGTGAGGACGAAGACAGCATTGAACATGATGAAGGCTGCTACGACCGTATTCCTCAATTCCTTCAGGTCGCTTTTCACTTTCGCCTGCAATTCAGCGTTTCAAGTGTAAAAATAAAAAAATAATATCGCGAGAATACGTTTAGCTTTCACATTGATCTAAATTTTAGCGCGAATTTAGGTGGACCTGAGTCTTGGGGTCGTTATCCAGGGGTTTCAGGTAAGTCTCGATGAGCTGCTTGAAGAAGGTGATTTCTCTTGGTTTCAGGAATACTGTTTCCCCCTTCGGCAGCGCTTCGTCGTTCAACCAATATGGATTCGTATTTTCGTCCACCGACTCATCATCTACAATCCAACGGAAAATTTTCAAAAGAGCACTTTCACTACCGCCATTTTGCAAAATTTCATTTTTGTCATTAGGTTCAATACTTTACGATTACGAAATCTCAACCGCTTTCTGGTGAACAGCGCCAGGGAAGAGTTGAGATCTTTGCAATGGGAGCAGAACGATGAAACCTCAGTATCATGGGATCATCCTTTTCGGACGTCCTATCGGATTTCGACATCCCACGTCTAATAATGTGCATCCCATAATAGTTTAGGGGATTAGACGCATAAAGAGCTTTTCACACTTTGCGTGACCTGCGTCCTTGCGTCAATGCTTGGGCAGGTAGGCAGACGCACGCGTGCACATGCATGTCCACTTACATCGAATAATTTTGCAAAAAGGCAAGGCTTACGATTGGGAATTGGACGAGTTCAATTGAAACTCAAGCCTTGCGATTTGTGCGTCTTGGATATAGTCGCAGGATTTCCATCGGACCTCCCTTCACGAGTTCCTTCCAAACTCTCATAATGTATTTTTTAAATTTAGTTTTCAAATGTTAAATTGTATATCATAATGTAAGCGTAAATCGCGGAGAATGTTTCAAAGGAATTCTCGAAATGCAGGAATAGAAAGCCCAAAGGGCGGAAAGTCGCTTGGCCATATTGACCCTTATGAAGTCATGTTTTTGGCGTTATGGGTAGTACCAGACGTTTGCATAGGAGGTCCCACTGTTGGAACTCGTTCATGCAAATCCAATCATTCCTAATTCGACACACTTCATGTCGCCACTGATCTCACCAAGATGGCTGAGTTTCATACGATTTAATCTAGTATTTTTGCAGATATGGAAGCACTTGAGACATTCGGGGGGGGGGGGAAAGGGGTGCAGGTGGCTTCGTAGATTTAGAAATCTCGATTGAGTGCCAAATTTGGGGTACTCGTGGGAGCATGGAAAGGAGTTGTGAGAGTCGCAAGTTGCATGATGGAGATTGGCGAAGGCAGCTACCGCGACCCGAAACGCTTGGCTTCTAAAACTCTCTGGCTTCGCCCCCATGACTATCCTGCAAATTTTCCGAGGCTCACAACGAAGGAGGTGCACCTCAGGAATTTCTGCCGGTTATCAATGGGATGCAACCAGTCGAAGAAAGCACTTCCCACAAATTCCTCGTGAACGTCTGCATGACGTACATTGGTCATTAGGATGCCTAATGAGAACATCCCAGGGGTGAGAACGAGTTGGCCTATTTCGACATCCATGGGGCATTCTGTTAGGATGTTCACCAATTTACTACTCTTACAGTGCCATGCAGAGCGTAAAAGGAATGCCGTATGATGGAACCGCTGTTCATTCGGAAAATTTTGCACCAATGAAGCATTATTATGCTGCTGTTTGCGCTTCAACATTCTTTGTTTGGAAGTTCTTTACATCTAAGAAACTTATACCCCATCGTCTCCATCGACATGCACGAGAGGGTCAACGGGATGAAATATGAGGATCATATGGGTTTCTCGTCGATTCTCCCAAGCGTTTCAGTGGATAGATATCGAATTGCAAACGATAATATTTTTCTGCTAATATTTTTCACACTCAGCTGCAGCGTGAATTACAGCTAAAATCTCACCCATTTATGTGGCAAAAGTGAGAGATATACAGGGTGTTTCAAAAGTCGCGTGACCCTATATACATCATTTTGTTGAGGAACTTGAATTGAGAATTGAGTGATGAATTTCTGAATGTTGTGTTGATAACATTTAAAGTTTATGTGAAAAATATGATACCCACAATACTCAATGCAATGGCTGATGTTTATGTATTCCAGTTAAATATATAACAGCACTTGTTTATATGAAGGGTTGCGCGAGTTTGGAAACACCCTGTAGTATTAAGAGCAGAAAGTTGGCTCGTTTTCGAGCCATCCTGCAGTGGATCCGAATCGAGTTCTTTAACGCCTCTTTTGTAATATTCAACGGAAGAGAAGAGATTCAACAGTCAACTGAAGTCACCTAGGAATTACAGCACCAATCGATTCAGTAATTTTTCAAAAAACTCTAGGTAAATATTTTATGTTAGTCAAGCCATTGATTACATATCAACATTTCCTGATAAGATGCGAAGAGGATGACTGAAGGACTTGAAAAAGTAAATTAATTAAAGCTTGCGTAATATCTCAGAAACATCCATAAACGCATAAAACTTCGAAGGTGAGTAAATTATGGAAAGGTATGGGAAAGTGAGATGATACCGCTGGTCCCGGAATGGCTTTCCGTGCTTCCATCCTGAGAGGTCGATACATCTTGTTCTTCATGTTCGTCTTCCAAGATGGGCGAGATCGTTTCTTGCGTATTTCCTGAATGATTGATGAAACTGGGTCGCCGAACCAGGCTGTTCGCCCGCGACCTTCGTGTCGGTTGAGGATCCACCATCCTGAAGAACAAAGGAGTCTAGCTTTATTTTCTAATGGCAGGCTTTCATTTCGTGTGCCTTCGTATCATTCTTAGGTTGTTAGCTTGTGGATGAATGCGAACAAGATCAGCATTTGAATATCAACCCTTTTAACTGCTGAGTTTTGTACTAGCAGATTTAAAGTCTCATGTCATCATGCATACGTGACGGCCTAGCAATAACCAGAGAGGGTAATTTAAACCGCTTATGCGCGTGAGGGCATTTCTTTCGCTGACGTGTTAATGCATCGATAGTAATTAAAGGGTAAGTCTCGATATCCATACGTTGACAGGAAACATGCAAGGGCAAAACCTTAAAAAAAAAATTATTAAAAAGAAAGTGATATTATCCAGCATGGGGGTGTGGGGGTGAAGGAGGGCTGATGACAAAAAATTAGCTACCTTTCGATGCGGTCGAGTCGTGTGAACATACGATCCAGGCTTTCAGAGATTTTCTTCATTTCTACCTCCGCCTTATCTTCTTTGGGACGAGTGCAGCACATGATCTTGAAGAGGCCAGCGAAGGAGCATTCGTAACTGCCTTCGTCTTCCGTTTGATTCAAAGCCTGCTGACCCATCCTCCTCATCAAAGCTACAAATTTACTTTTGTTCTTCTTATTCTTTGCTGCCTCCTCCAAAGCCTTCTGTTGAGCCTCTTCCTCCTAGAACATACAAGAAGGTTCTTCCATTCACATATGTACGGGAGCTTGTAAATAGGGATGCGTAAATAGGGGTAAGCGCCAGACCGCTTTGGTGAGCTTTTTTGGGACTTCTCGTGTTCCCCAGGATACGTCATTCAGATTAAAAACGGAATAGATGATGAGAAGGAGGTACATGCTGGGAACTGTGAGATAGTAGACGAAACCAGCCGGGAGACAATGGATCTCCTGAGGATGAAGGAGTCCACAGATGACGAAGGATGCTGTGAGGCTTAAGAGAAAAATCCCTGAAGGACTGGCTATGCCATCTTCTTGCAACTGAAGAGCCGTACCCACGATGACAGCCATCATCAACAAGGCATATAGAGCTGTTAACAACTGGGCCAGCATCAACTGCAACGCGAAATTTCGTTTCGAGTAAGGTGTAAAAAGGTGTTTTCAGAAGAGTACGAGCAAAAATTGCGGACCTGGTGCTTGGACTTCATGAAGAGACAGACGAGCATGAAGAGACAGATGGGAACGATGTTTCCTATGAAGGCAGTCATGTTGGAGATCTTGAATGCTGCCACAAAGGCTCCCACCAACATCATGAAAATCGTCCCTGGACCCAAAATGGTCCCCACCATCAACAGCAACTATTAAGAGAAAGGCAAGTAGACGGTACGTTGGCGACAGAGACGTCAATGACTGATGACAAATGATGGAGACGACTATAGGTAAGTGTACACACCTGATAGAAGATGTAAGGGAGGGAGATGTTCGGATTGACGGCAACCGTGCTCTTGTAATCCCCGATTAGGTCCATGATGTTAGCCATTGTGGATGGGACCCATCGACGACGTTGATTGTAAAATTCATTGAATCCTTCCGGACTGTGGGTGAAGGAATCGCAAGCAGCGGAATATTCAACACGGTAGCCTTGTTGAAGGAGCAATGTACACAGCCATCTGTCTTCCCCTAAAGCGAAATGATATATTAGACATCAATCGAGAGCGCAATAGCCATCTCGATCTAAGTGCAATCAAGAGGGGGAAGAAAAGGTATCCCACACGTATACAGTTCTGCTCTGGTTTTTTTCCCGTTTCCCGGAATCTTGCTAGAACTTTTTAGGATGGTTAAAGAATGTCTATCGATTAGTCAATTCCGCCAAAATCATGGTGGACAACAAGGGGCGACACTCGAGGTACCACTCCAACATGGAGCATGCAAGAGGATCATTATATTCACTTGTCGGGACATTGCAAATTTAGCTTCTGCCGGTTAGCCGGTTAGGATGCGAGGCGTCCTCGTCTCTCTACCTTGGTCAAACTGGACGTAGTGCAGGGCCTCTTTGGATACGGCGGTGTATTTCTTCATGACGTTGTCGGACATGAGGGCTTTTCCTCGAAAGAGAGAGAAGCAACCAGGGCTGCAGAGAACGCAGCCGATCATGTGCTCCGTAGCCTTCTGCAGCCAATGTCCGATGGCATACTCGAACAGCTGGAACCACACCATTGGGCCTGGCCAGGAAAGAACATCGTCGTACAAGCAGGCAAGTGTAGAACAAGACGTACCGTACGTTATTTAGTTGGACTAGTGGGTAAAAAGCTAAGCCTTCACAACAGAATCACGCCATCTACTTACGCCATCTTCAGCTGCTAGTCATTTTTACCTGGCATCGTGAAATCCTACGTCTAGCATATTTTCGATACATGTATAATACTAATGAAAGATATCGGGAATGTAAGACCTCGTCCAACAGGGTGAATACGGCCACATGCAGCGCCCAAGTTCTTGTCTCGTTTCATCATCGTCACCAAGAGCCGGACAGCGAGGGGCTGGAAATCGATGTCTCCGTCCAAGGCCAAAATGAACGTATTTTCGGCCATCACATCCTTTCGTTCGCTTGGCAAGTCCTCTCGTTCCATCAACTTGTACCCCAACAGGTAGTACATGTACATGCACTGCAGGAAGAAGGACAACAGAGAAACATATATGAATTGGATATCAACAGCATCTTAATACGTTGGCTTCGGTTTGAAAAATTAAGGTCCAAACGTAAGACTGGTAGTGCTGCAATATAAATAGGCCAACTAGAGACGAGCGAAATGATCCAGGTTGACTGTCAGTAGATGAATAGTAAATTGTTGATGGTAACAGTGTTAAAGAGACAAACGGAACAATTCTTCAAAAGTCGTTTAAAAAAAAGTTACGAAAAGCAGTTGAACCAGATTGCGAAGGTCAATACAGATTACTGCGCAAACGTCTTGGGCATCGCGATGCGCAAGACGGTTGGCGATGTTCTCAAAATGTTTGACGATGTTTGACGTGATGGGAACCCAAGAAGAAGCACATATCCAACCATACATCCTCACATCGCTATAAGAACTAAATCGCTACGAAACTTCGTTCAACAAACTGCAAAGTCAGGGCAAACCGGAGTGATAGATTAGATATCAATTTGTCAGCTATCCTCTTGCTCAAAAACTCATTATGAACTCAATTCTGGAATTTATTGGAGTGAAAATCCGCTAAAGGTTATTTTGGTGGCATTCAGGAATCACCAAAAGAGAGATGTGAACCTCATCTGCTTCCCATGATCATACAGACTCTCTCTTAAACGGTCCAAGCACTGAATTCCGAATCAGGAATGACACACTACAGCAGCGATTTATGCGTCATCTCTCTTAGGTTGTGAGAACTATGTTTCTTTGAGTAACTGCCATACACGTATGGCTTACTTCCTGTCATTTCATTTTACTGCATGGTTTCGACCCGTAATTCTTGATCTCCTGCCCTGATTGAGTTGAGCCCGCGGGCCTTTTATTTCACTAGTCGAAATCGAATGTCACCCATGATATCAGGGGATAGACAGTTGGAAAACCTACCTGACTCCATCGCTTCTTGTGCCTGATTTTATTTTTGTCTTTAAGATGACAGATGATCTTGGATTTGCCAGGCAAGGTCCAGACGAGACGACCACCATAAGGTGTGGGATACCGTTTCGGATTTCGAATGATTGTCTTGACCACGGATTCTTCCACGCCGTGAACCACAGATGCAGCCTTTGGGATCACCTCGATCAGATCCTTCACGAACTTGTTCACTACTGACTTCTCGGTCCCATCGTCAGACAACGTATATGCATCGTCGAAAAATATGTGGGCTGCAATAAAATAGGCAAGAATACAGTGCGATTCTCTAGACGAGTGTCCAGCAGTTCATTTTAGCCCGGGATCTTCACTTCATTTATTCCATTCTACTATTCTCCCCACAATAAATATTTCATGGATCAAGCAGATATCTCCGCTGGCAGTTCTGCTGGACACTTCGTTTTTAAATCGACTGTCAAAGCTGCTGTCATTTTGATCCAAATTATGGAAATGGTTATCCAGAGTCACAAATTTAAAGAAATTTTCTTGCCAAAAGCACGATCCGGAGAAAGATTGTCGAAAGGACATATGGATAGGATACCTTCATAGGATAAGCACCTTCATAGACTTGGACCGTTTAACTTAGTGTCAAGGTGAAGTAGAAGGGACTAACTTTCCAGCTCGTAGTAGTCATCATCGAGGGTCTTGAGGAGTTTGGCGGCCGTCTTTCGAGCAGCATAGTCCTCGTCTAATCGATAAATGGATTTGAGGAATTCGATCATCTCGTCTGGGATCTCGTGCCACATGGTGGCACAGCAATAGATCCGGGTAATCTTTTCCGCATTTGGAGCCACGCGTTTCTCGCCGACAGGAGGATGGAAGTCGTCCGACGAGGTGTAAGACACGTTGTCGTCATCGTCATCATCAATCGGCTTCAAACCCTTCTCCAACAAAACAAGGTCATCGTAACAGGAAGCTAAGAGCATGTGCACAAAGAAATCGGGCAAAAAATGGGGATTTTGAGGAAGTTCATTCCCGGGATTTTGACTAAATTTTGCATACAAGTTCCCTTTTGCGTTTCATTGAATACCACTGAATATTTCTGAAATTGTGGCCTTGGGGGCTGAACCTTGGGAATGCCCACTCCAGGTTACAGCATTGAGAAATCGCTCATGTGCTAAATTTTTGCTTCAAGAACATAGCTGAACGAAATATCGTAAGTCAACTCTGAGGATTCCTCTGGAAAAGGTTTCGTTTAATTATCCTATACTAGCAAGAGCACAAGGCCGTTCGAAGTTGCTTCAAAAGTGAGAAATATGCCTATTTTGGGTTTCTATAGCTTGTTGCTAAGAAACTGGAACTGGGCGTTTCTTATACCATATGAAAACTTTTTTCTCTGAGTATGTTAAAATAAGTCATTTATTGACTTTCTTGATGCAAAAAGTTTTGTCCAATTGAAACAAGGTTAGTTGGCTAGTTTCACCAATTTCAACACCCTCTAACATCTTGCCACAATCTTATTACGGAATAAAAGTTGTGCATATGTGCCCCACATACTTGATCTACATGATCTACATCTACTTGATCACATACACTACACAAATAATTGAGTAATTTTTCTGCAGTAGAAAGTTACACCTTATTAAGAACGAGAAGGTTGAGTTTTTCTTGGAGCCTTCGATGCCATCTGACTTATTGATACACTGTCATTATTTTTTATCATATTTAGTGGCCCAACACAACATTAGGAGTGTCCAAGCCGTCCAAGAATTGGACGACGTCAATATTATCCTAATGTTGTTCTTATAATGAGTTAATATTGAACAATGTGCACCTTAATAAAAAGAGAAATTCTCCTCATCCTTAGACGGAGCTTAGATATAATTGTTTCACAATGCGTATATAAAAATCCTTTTCATTTTCACTGGATTCACCTAAACCAAGAGCATGCAGTGCTCACTCACTCATTCATACTCAGTGCTCGTCTAGGCTCATTGGGAGAGGCTAAGGTAGTGGCACTTGGACAAATTGCTATTCCTATATTCCCAAGAAAAATGACTGAGTCTACAATATAAGCCAGCGTGTCTTTCCAATGAGATGAGTGTTCATGATCGTTGTTCGAAAGTCTTAATGAATGTTGGATATTATAAAATGACACTCATCTAAGTACATATGTAAAAGCGGTGGGGCGCCTCCCAAAGTACCTATACGCTACTTAGTGTCATGAAATGTCTGCTTTTTAATTGGGCCAAATTCGGGTTGCACAGGTCGTTGAGCCAACATAGGCAATATTTTGTCAAATATGCTGAGCTACCCGGAATCGCACTACCAAATATTAGCGCCGAATTCCAACCTATATCTTGGCCAATATCGCAAGCCGTTGTGTTTTCAATATTAGGTCAATCTTGACGCCGATCCTGATGCAATATTTAAAAAAATATATATCATGAGCTATATTAGTCAAATTTATTGTGCTACTGGGGTCAACTACCTTGCTTATTTCAATGCCAGAGAAAGAGCCCTAACGCATCTCACGTTTGAAGTGTTTCATGGACACAGAATGAGGAGGGGAAGGAAGGGAAGTAAAGTGAGGAAGAGAAGATCACCTTGCCGAGTGACTCTTGGTCATATCTCCTCCTGTCCATAGTGATGGACTGACCCAGAAGCAAGGAGACATACCAGGGATTGACAAAGAGTAGATCTGTGGTAGCCAACTTTCCAGAAGTCGGGGTCCAGATATGTACTGTGGTCCACAGTTGTGACAGGAGCCACATCATCCCCAGCCAACCAAACTGCAAATCACAACCAAATGACAACAAAGTATGATTTGCCTGTTGCACACGATAACGCATGCGGGGATATAAAAGAAAAGTAATATCGAACTGATGTACAGGGTGTCCCAAATAGATAGCTTTCCTTTGCACAGGATTGGTCGATAACCAAAAAGTAATATACTGTATCTCTAAAAATTACATTCAATTTCGAGTCTAGACACATTCCTATTTTAAATTTACAGGTACGAGTAGATATTTATGGCTGCGGAGAAAGTACGAGATGTTTAGTGTTCGTCACATCATAGAAATCTTTTTTTTTTAACTAGGAACACTGGAGCGAACTTTTTCTCTCGAGGATGGAGTGCTCCCGAGATGGTGTTTCAAAGATTTCCTCAAAAGAAACTGTGACAAAAATCCTTACGATTGCTCCATGAGAATGACTGGACTGGAGAGAAAGGAATGGCTTTGTCTCAGAAACGAATGGCCATCATTGCCTCACTGGGTAGCAAATCAAAAGGTTCGGTGCCTGGTTGGTCTCAAGAGGAAATCCAAAGGACATCAGGGACATCGAAAAAGACGAAGGTGTATCGTGAACTGCCGCAGCATACCGATTGCATTGAGATCTTCGTTTGCCTCATAACAAAAATGACCGGAATCTTGAAGGAACAGGTCTAGACTTGGGACGGTCCTTATTTCTGGCAGACCGTTCTTCAGGACTGCGTGCTTCCATCTCCGTATGATGAGGCAAATGTCACCTCTGTCGATGATTTGACTTTCCTCTTACAACTCATGAGTTCGTGTCTGGAAATGATGTCTTTAACACAACAAATGACCTTCTATGGCTAAGAATCGCGGGGTGGTCATTAAAGACAGACTCGAAGGGTTCATGGTCCAAGAAAATGACAGTTGCCGTGAAGAAGCTTGCTAAGAATCCTCATTGAAATGGAATGAGTCAGAGCTCTTTGCAAAACTCTCCTCTAACCTCAATCAGTTTCGAGGGCTGTTCGTGATTTTCATTCTGGCCACACCAGCTACTAATATGTGTCCGACAGGCTCGAAATGGCATACATTTTTCAGAAATACAATTTTTTTTACTGCCTACCTAACCAGAATTTTACCTGGTAAAAGGGGTTATCTCTCTGACACACCCGGTAGTGTAAATAATAACGCTCAGTGGCGCCAGCATAGAGGTCATCCAGTTTTCGTTGCGTCGACATCTAGTCTAGTTCATTCACGGACTCTCTACGGAATCGTCTCTTTGTAGTCGGTATAGCAAAGCAAATGTAACGAGGCTGAAATTGAAGCTCTATTTTGGTAGCAGTCGTATTTCCATGCGTTCCGAGAACTGGCTACATTAAAAGAAAATCAGCACAAAGCCGATTTTCTTTTAATGTAGCCAGTTCTATTCTGGATAAAAATTCAGAAGCCTGTCAGGATGTGACAAACTCACGCACACGCATGTGTTCAAGTTAAACTGGCTTCCTTCGTCTTTACTTTAGTGGTTAAGTTCTTTCAAGGATGCAGAAATCTCTGAAACTGGACCTGTCCCTTTATGAAGTCATCCAGGAAGTCTCCAGAAGGGCATTCCCAAAAGAGGTAATCGGGGATGACACCATGGAAGGCACAGAGGTTTTCGTTTCTCCATCCACATGCACTGAAGAGGAAGACAGTCGTCACTGGGACAGCGAGGGTCAATGGGAATGCAAATCCTGTTCCCTGGATCCTGATCTTGCATGCAAACTTCCCTGAAAATATAGGAATTTATGCATTTATATCTGAAAAGAGGTCGGATTGAGGAATAAATGAAGCCCTAAGAACTGGTCCATGACAGAACCAAGGGAAATGTCATGAATAAGGCCCCTGACTCCTGGTGATGACCTCAAGGATTTTTGCACTAGATCCAAAGTCAAAGTCAAAAGATCCTCGTACTGATTTCAATGATGTTGGAGAAATGATAAATGAGCCCAGAGGTGCAACCAGAAAAATTTCAAGGGGATATATGGAAGGCGATCGATGGGCAGAAGCTGAGTTTCTTCGGTTTTTATGAACTTTCGTCAGTCAAGTCGAGAGTTGTGATCTTCGTCAAGCCGCAATCTAAGGATACAGCACCTCATTTTGATTTCTGTAAATTTCTCTCAATTTTCTAAATCAAGCCAAGATAACTAAAGGGTGGTACAAAATACCTGCCTCCCTACTTCCAGACAAAAACAGATGAGTTTGACAAAAGACAAATGTTTCTCTTGATTTCTTATCACACAATATTATGCTTAAAATTTGAACTTTGTGGTATTAACATGTGCCGTAAAAAATGCCCGATTCTTTCAGCCAAAAATTTCAACAAATTTCGGTACAAATCAACATCATCTTTCATCTGTGGAACGCCATCACAATTTTCTCTCATATTCTCGATTGAAAATCGACTGTTTCGTCCTTCCTGCTTCATTTCTACCTATCAACCCTTCACAATTGAGCCCACATGTTCGCAAACATTGTGATCAGATGAGTTCCCCGGCCATTCTTCATATCCAAAGTCCTTTTCCCGTATCTTCTGGAGATTGGACTTTCTGTCGTGATACCTTCATGCTATTTTGAGATCTTCAAGGGTAAAAACCTTAAAACCGAGAATCAACATCACTTAATATCTTGTTCCAGTTCTGTTTCACTCAGTCTTCATTTCGGTTCAATTTTTTTTTTGCAATCCATTTTCTCGAGCTGAATGTTGCGTCCTCGTCTTCAGCAATTTTCCAAGGCACATTCGACGTAACGGTTAATTGTCACCTTGAACCCCTACCATATTTTAAATCAAGTTGAAAAGATGCAAAAAAATATTAAATGATATTGCCCTTTATTATTACATTTACGATGCTGTTCCACGTTATGCGTCGCAGGCTCCAGGAAGGGGGGGGGGGGCGGCAACTATTATACAACACCCTGTATAATTTAAGATCCATAATTCTATGTTGCCACTTCGTTGACTTCGATGGGCTACTCCAATCCTTTGGGTTTTGAACTTAGGCAAAAAGGATTGATGAGGAAAGAAAGAAAGGAGAAAATGAGGATAAGTAAAACAAGAAGGGCAAGCCCAGTCCAGTAGTGAGCCTCCTTTAATTTAAGGATACCCTCATTTTGTCACCTACTTGAACAAAATACCATCTCTTTCCGGCCCTCGACCATCAATAAGCTCATTTCTCAGTTAGAGTTGGCAAATCTACCCATTGTGCTCATGAAATGATGATGGGAGGATGAAGGGTTATGCGTGGTTCGATCCATCTGCGACGAAGGCTACTAGTAGCAGACAACTGACAGCATTTGTAGGGGACATGGCGCCGCGCCGAAGGCCTGGGTCTTACGCGCATGCGCATTATGGTCCAGATTTTAAAGGGCTCTCGGGAACTCATGCCTTTCCCATGAGTGTATAATGGAGGGGCCTCCCCTATGGCGCGAGGCATTGCACCCTTCCAGGCGCGGCCGCCATCTTACTGAAGTCGCGCGAACAAGAAGTTCAAAGCAGATACATGGACAGGGGTAGGGGAAAAGAGGCAACTTTCCCCGAGCTATATGCCTGGGGGCCTCCACGCGACCCTCCACCTGCGAACCTCCACGAGACCCAACCAATCACGCTATTCATTCCCACGTGCGAGACTTCACCAAGATGGTGAAAGCAATGTAAGTCTCGAGGAAGCGAAGGCCTCTCCAGAGACATCTATATACACTATGTTTTCCCTCCTCCCCCCGTGAGCAAATTTCAAGTCCAAAATTCGCGATAAAAATTGCAATTTCTGGGCAAATTCGCCACAAAACTAACTAAGCCTGTATCTTGTTCATATCTACCTGGTTGCCTATTTTTGCATTGGTCATGCCAATATTTTCTTAGTTATCGTCGAACAACTAAAGTGTGACACACGAACGGACAGGACGGGACCATAAATGGTCTCTTTCATTTCAGGAAAGGAGGTTCACTAAGAACAGGAATGGAGACAAGCAGGTTGGATGAGGTAGAGATCCTTCTACATCTCCCTCCCCTTTTCCTCCACACCATTCCAAAGGGCATGAGAATGGGCAGAATGGGTGTAACTGCTTCAACTTTATTCTCTCCCATTTCCCCGTGTTTTAAGCCTAAATTTGCTTCGTTTTCCCATAATATATGCAACTAATGCAGGGTTTAAGTACAGTTGGCTCCTTCGTGAAATCAGGGAGCATTTATAAGCAAAGTTTAAATTACCCAAATTTATATTACAATTGCCCATATGGTGGAACTAAAGTAAGATGAAACAAGGTTTGTAAAAGGAAGATCACTTTAAGCCAGCTTCAGATTTAAAATTTGACGATCCTTGGAATCTCTCGTTCATCGTTTGGAGGGAGTAGGATTCTATTTTTGCTGCATTATTGTTGTTTTTTTCTCAGTTATTTTTACCCCATCCCACTCTACTTGGGTGCTTGAAAGGCAATAAAACTTACCAACGGTATAGCAGATCCAGGCAGTAGCAATGTGGATCAAAATCAGCCAACATGCAGCTGCTGATCGAGATCGGACCGTATCGGTGTTATCTACCGGAACTGAAGACGCAACATCCCACATGGAATACTCCACTATCACGTTTTGCACCTGTTTTTAAGAGGATACAAATCGTATGTCATGACAAGGTACATCCCAAATTGTCGCTCAATAGGCGCATATTGGCATACCTCGGTGACATTTAGAAGATGTTGTCCGAAGCTGGCGGAAGCACTGGTGAAGAGGGCACTCAGGTCATCTTCGAGTATGTATTTCACGTAAATGATGACTCCGATGAACATGAGGATGATCTTCCACAGGGAAATGAAACTGTAAATCCTGTATCTATATGCAACCAGAGTTCTTTTCACTGTCGTCAACACTCCCTTTTCTGTCACAAAAAATGTTCGCAACTATTATTTTTTGGTTTCTCTTGCCTGGAAATAACGCAAACAAATGCAACAATAGTTCCTTTATCGTAAGCCTGCAGAAAATACCCAGAGTCAAATTGGTCAAATTAATCTTTCTTATCTAAGTTGGGAAAACTCTATCAGGATAGAGACAAATGAAAAACCAACTGAGCATAATTTGACTTTTCAACGCGATTCTCATGTATGCCTGTCATTTGTTTAGTTCTCTTGGCCGACATCAGAACGCACGAGCTCAAAAAGAGAAGGGAGTATAGAACAGAGTGATCAGAGGTACAACCAAGGGGGGAGGCAAATGAGAGTCATTTTCCCATGACTTAAAGAAAATTTAGTCAAATGAACCAAAAGAGGGATGCATTAGGAACGATCAGAATGATGCATATTGTTTCAACTCCCTCCGATTTTCCCGCTTAAAGTAGTGAAACCAGTGAATAATGAAAGAACAAACACTTGATATCCACCTACCCCTCCCCCCGGATTGCTCACAAAAGGTTTGAATTGTTTAGGAACCCTCTTTTTTTACCCATAGAAAAATGAGACCCTAGCTCAGTCTTCACTGTCTTATTATTATTATTCTATTATAACGAGACTATTGGCTGAGTCTTCATGGTCTGATCAGAAAGGAGAAGGGAAGAAAGAAAATAAGAAAATAAGAAAATAAGAAAATAAGAAAATAAGAAAATAAGAAAATAAGAAAATAAGAAAATAAGAAAATAAGAAAATAAGAAAATAAGAAAATAAGAAAATAAGAAAATAAGAAAATAAGAAAGCATCTTCCGCGCTCAGCCTTCCGGAGAAGAGAGAAAGAATGGGAGCAGTGTGGCACTCGCGATGTGGATGACCATCATCCAGCCAACTCATGTTACGTAAACATTCTTTGCCCGAGCAGCTTTTCATTCTCTCTCTGACATTTCTTCTCGTCTTACCAATGAATCCTACCTTACCATCGCATTCGGACATTATACTGCGTCAATGCCAAATTTCATTACACAACTTCCTAAAGCCTATGAGAAGTTTTAGAATGGTAAGCTCTACCTATATACCGACCTCATCAATGATATGGGCTAGGCCAAAATTCTCTTTAATATAAAAACACACACACACACACACAAACTGTACACACATGAAACTCATTCTCCCACTTGCAGTAGTAAACCTACCATTGTATGTCATCGCACTTGTGTCATTTTTCATACTACATAAAAAATATTAATAAGACTAGAATTTTCCAGGTTTACACAGGAAATACACCATTCCAGAAAAAGTCAGCGGTGGAGAGGTAGTGGACGAGAATCCCATCGTTCCTCGATCGCCCTATCGAAATTCCTCAATGAGTCGCCATGTACTGTATATATTATATCCTAAATCGAGGGGAACTAAGAGACCTTCTAACCATGAGGAAATTGTCGTGATCGGTGCGCGGAATTTCGAGCAGTGAACGAGGAAAGAGAGGGCAATATCCACTCAAGGGGGGGGGGAAGAACGCGAAGTTTTTTCTTGGATTGGTGTATTCCATCCGTGGAGAAATTTTTAAGGAAGCAATGGGAGTAAAGTTCTCAATCTAAACCTGGGAAATTCTGGCGGTATTTGTTTATAATATTGCTCACGAAAATTTACGGAACATACATTCAGACGTTCTTCTCTCCATACATCGAAGGGTGAAGCTGAACTTTCTGTTATCGCTAGGACGAAGCGAGGGAATAAAAAAAGTAAAGAGGCAACGTATACCGTACCGTCGTCTTTGGACACGTAGAAGTAATTCTCCCACCAACGGAGGGAGATGAGGAAGGCGGAGAGGGGGAGGGAGAGGATGAAAATATCCACCGTCTCCCCCCGGGCTTGATATTCCACGTAAGGCCAAATGATCAAAGCCGACGACTGAAGAAATACAGCCAAGATGTCCAAAATGATCGCCAGAATCTTCGTCGCCTTACTTTTCTTTGCTTTTTCCGACTCCTCTTCGCCATTCGTTTTCTTTGCGTCTCGCGCTCGGAAAAACAGACCTGCGAGTCGAAGTATGCGGATTGGAATTCGCACTCATCTGAAGCAGGAGACGAAAGCGGAAGGGACTAACCGAGGACGGACGGAACGAAGCAGACGCAAGATGTGAACATGACACCTCTCAGTACGTCCAGCTCGGGCAGGACGACGAAGGCCAACAAGAACAATCCGATGGTGTGCAGGGTCTCCACCGTCCAAACGATGGCGAACGTCAGCCCTTTGTTCACTCCCTCGACGTGTTTAGTGAACCGAGTCGTTTTGAAGATGACGAAACGGAAGGATCGAATGAAGGTGTACACCTCCGGCGAAATCAAGACGAAGAACACGGCCCAAATCCAAGCGATTCGCTCCAAGTACGAGATGTTCGCCTCCCATTCCTTCGTGCTGTCTGTGAACGCAAACGTCACGGAAAAAAATCACAACTCTTCAACGCGAAAGGAAAAACGATCGGATTCGGAACGGACCGACTAGACGGTTGCAGTGAGGCACCATTCGTCCGACCTTCAGTTGCGTGGTCATGAAGAGAGCCGTACTCAGGGCGATGCAGGAGGATCCGAGTACGAACACGAACGTGAAGATGTACGTGAGGAACTTGAGGACCTGCGGAGAGGGACGTGGATATGTACTGCCGTTATGAGAGGAAAAGGGGATTAAAGGGTTAGAAGGGAGAGCACAACCTTGGATCCAACTTTGATCCAATTTCCCTGGGCCGAGGATCCAGTCTGAATATCCGGTGGGATCTCTCGAAAAGCATCCCATTTCGGGGGAAGCGAGACTCCTCCCCTATAGAATGATCCGATCCGTCTCACAGACTTTTCTTATTGAAATGTCACTTTAAAAAATCCGTTATAAGGTACGATAGCCGCGTGTAGTAAGACTCGTTGAAAAAGAGAGCATTTCTCTGGACGATTTCCCACTCTTGTGAACTCACGTTCACGATCACACGAGAAATAAAAAATTGGCACACTCTTTTCCCGAGATCCTTAGATGACCGATTTTCAGCTGTAACGGTCTATTACTTTCAAATTACCGAATTACTGAACTGCTCTTCTAATGGCGACGCTCCGTGAAGTTCATCCTAAATGGTCGCGGCTAGTGGTATTTAGCAGTAATAGATCGCGAATCGTAAGTCGTAATAGATCGACAGGGTTTGCCTGGGCCCACCCATACCCTGCCTCCAATCAAGTACCAAACCATTCGACTGGGACTAGAGGAAATTTCACTCTTTCCACCTCATCATTACACGCCAAAAGACCGGTCTTTCCTCGTCGAGGATAAGGACGACCATTCTATCTCTAGCATTCCTTTTGGTGGGCACTCGCTACTCAACTGATACCCAACTGATGTGAGCAAATGAAAATATAACCAAAGGCTGTGTTAAGAGGTACCTAAACTGAACGAGTTCTAAAAGTGCTGAAAGGGACTTTCTATTGTAAAAGCAACAGAATGAAGGTGCATCTCTGCAAGGTGCAATTTCCGTCCGCATCCTCGTATATGCAGTAATAACATAACCTAAGCAATAACCTAAGCTTTATTAATACCTAAGAGTCAGAAGTCTTTTTTTGCTCTACCAAGTGTACGGTGACTTAATTCATGTAACTTTCTGTGGTTTCGTCTCTATTAAAGAGGGATTCAGTTTCCATTTTCTTATGAAAACAAAAGAGGGATTCTGCTTAATTATTTTGTATTCAATCGACTTCATTCTATCTGCAGAGGACGATGTCTCTTCGACACCGGAGGAACATTAGCTTCAATTTCAAATGAATGCAGGATTTATAAAATTCTGCATCGGTTTGTCAAACTATTTATTATTTTGGTTTGTATTTGGAGGCAACTGCATGTACGTCTGTGTTCTGAATACGTAGCCAAAGATGAATGCAAGATAAGGGTGCTGGGGCGGCCATTAATCCATAAATCAGAAACTTAAGTCGCAATGAGATGAGATAAAGAGTAGATGTGATCGTGTTTAACGTGGGCGGGTCGTTCGTGCGAAAGTCATCGTCATCGTGCTGCCTCTGCCGTAATCCTGCCTCGGGAAAGTCATCGTACCGTATTTAAAATGATATCACAGGATATCCCTTGGCCGGAATTGGAGCAGGTGCATGGCGTTACGGCCAGTCTTTGATTTCGTAAGAAAGAGCATGACCTTGGAAATGGCGCTGTACACAAAACAAAACGTTGACAACTCTCAGCGAAATAGGGATTATAGGAACACGCTAACGTAACAATATTGTACTGATTGCACGTCGCCTTTGTTCCCACGTCTCCCAAAATATCCTTTTAACGTTTGTGCGCTCGTGAGACTCATGATCGTAACGAAAGGTAATAAAAACTTCGATGCAATCACGTACGCCAAAGAAAAATATTACGGCCTGGAAGAAAGACCTGTGTGGATTGCATAAAACTGACTTTGGCATAATAAAGCTTTAAACCTCCTTTAGCGATGCTAATGAAAGTTTAAAGCTTCATTACGCTAAAGTCAGTTTTATGCAATCCACCCCAGACCTATCTGCATGCGCTAACTACATGGGTCAGCCCATCGATCGGCTGAGCTCTCGGCAAAATATCCATAAATCATCCTGAATGTCTCGGTGGTATGAAACGAACGACAGTGTTTCAGGACAAAATTATAAATTCCCATCAAATCAGTTATTCAGGCATCATCAGAACAAAATCAATGATTTAACCATCTGATAGTCGTCAGAATCCCTCTCATCAACCTTTACGTACTTGGAACGTTGATGATTACAATGGAGACCATTGATTTCAGAATTCTGCTAGAAAAAATATTGAAAGGCGCATGAAAGAATGATATAAGACTCATTGATCTGCTTAAACACGATTGAATGACCCTGCACAGAAATCCTAGTCGCTCGCTCTGAGAAATGTCCTTCTACCACCCAGTATTTAGAATGGATTTATCCAGAATAGTCTAAGCACTGAGTTATGAGAAGAAAAGGCGGAGTGACAGACTCGGCGACAGCATCGTCGCTGATGAGTCGGGCTTCTTCCTGATCGGAGAAGCCATCCTCTTCTTCGGATCCCGAGGCTCCTCCTGCTCCAGTGTCACGTTCCACCCGATCCATCTCCGACTTCTTTTTTTCGCGTATTATTCCCCCTTCTTGCTTCTTCTTTCCCTCCTTTTTCACTCTGTCGTCCCTTTTGTCATCCCGATTGTCCTGGAACAAAGAGAAAGACTAACCTTGATGTGCGTGTATTAAATTAGATGGCGACTGGAATCCGGAGGGGGCGAGGGTTCACGAGCCCACGAATCCATCGGGAGATAGAACCCTCACGGCTAAGGAAAAACTCCCATTTTTGCATCATTACAATCTCGCACAGGGGCAACAGCGAAGTGGACAGGTTGGAATGAGACAAGTCACTGAATCCACTGTATGCGATTAGCAACGGTAGGAGAAGAAACCTGACTGGACCCATTCGGCACAACAACGTTGCGTCAACATTGACAAAATATTGAAATGCTGAGACATTGAAGTCGAGAATTCAACGAAGAATCACTATCAATGAAATGCCGGCTATTCGTAATTAACCGAATTCCAGCATATAGAGGCTACTCATGGACTAACGAAGTCATTTGGAAGCCATTAGGTGCAAATTCGTTCTTCACATTTGCCATCAGTGGCGGCTCGTGGGTAAAAAAATTGGGTAGGCAGCAGTGGTGCAAAAAATAAAGTGGGCGGTCACCCCCCAGTGATTCCTTTGCACCCATATGCAGGGCCGCCCAGAGGGGGTGGTGGCAATTGGGGCCATCTGCCCAGGCCCCACGTATTAAGGGGTCCCAAGGGGGTCCTCCAAAGGGCCTCAAGGGGTCACCGGTTTAGTTTTGCCCCGGGCCCCTGGAAACCTCTGGGCGGCCCTGCCCATATGATGCCCATTTCTATCCCTATTGACCAATGGAAAGGGGTCCCAAGGGGGTCCTCCAAAGGGCCTCAAGGGGTCACCGGTTTAGTTTTGCCCCGGGCCCCTGGAAACCTCTGGGCGGCCCTGCCCATATGATGCCCATTTTTATCCCTATTGACCAATGAAGCGTCCTCCTATGATAGTAGCCGGCACATTCGCTCCTCTCTCAACCTCGCTCAGCAACCCCCTCCCCCACCCACTGCTCTCCAGTCTCTTCTGAGGGTCCCCTCACCCCTTGACTACAGGCTTGACATAAGCTTAGGATTTTTGCATTCAAAAATGGTAAATCCAATTCTAACATAATCAGAACTATCCATCAAGGAAATTACTTGTATCTAAAAGGAAAAGTGATGAAGATTTAAACCTTCAATGTATGCAACTATATCATTGGAAGACACCCCAGGGATGCGAAGCACTGTCAGTCTAACAACACATATCTCTTGGAAACAGTGCCTCTTCCAGAGAGAGCAACGAATGCTGGGTAGGAATATGGAACTGAGACTGACAGAAGCATAGGCGGCGATTCATAGGGGCTCAGGGGGCTCGAGCCCCCCAAAAAATTTGGCAGAAGAATAAGGAAGGAATACTTGGAGTACTGCCTTTGAGCCCCCCAAATTTTGTCTCTGAGCCCCCCCAAATTTCTCAACAAATCGCCGCCTATGGACAAAAGCCTGTTCGGGATGATTCCTTATTCAATCAGCATAATACTGTAGAATAGGTTTGATCAGATGTGACAACTACAGAGTTTTCCACAAGCACGTGCTTCTGAGCAGAGGGCGTGAGCAAGCGATTCTCAACCATGTTCGGGGTGATTCCTTATTCAATCAGCATAATACTGTAGAATAGGTCTGATCAGATGTGACAACTACAGAGTTTTCCACAAGCACGTGCTTCTGAGCAGAGGGCGTGAGCAAGCGATTCTCAACCTTCCTTCCTGCGCAAGGAGTAACTGCGCGCCGTAGGCAAGCCTACCCTCACTTATTCCAGTGCTGTGGTTCTCTTCCCTTTCTCCCTCCTCGTTCCTGCATTGACTCGCGGGAATTTGAGCCTAGCAAGCGTTGGCAGGCAGCGCCGTGCCTACTCTGAGCGCATAATCTCGTTTTGCTTTTACCTCGCAATGGAAAAAAAGTACTTACAGCTGTGCTAATCGAATAATTAATTAGCAAATATTAATTTGAGAACTCTGATATTAATTTGAGAACTCTGATATTAATTTGAGAACTCTGATTTTAAACTGGGTAGGCACTGCCTACCCTGCCTACCCTGACGAGCCGCCACTGGTGAGGAATGATCTTTGCATATGGAATATCAACCCTAGACACGAGTAAAAGCCAATTACGAGGGGGAGTAAATAAATAAGGTGAATTTTAGTATAGCTTCAAAATAGTTTATTACAGAAACATGAAAACACACTATTTTAATATGTAATTACCTCCTTCCTCAACGCATTCATTCCAGCGACTGACAGACTTTCTGATTCCATCAGAAAAAAGTTTTTGGTGAAGAGCCAATTATGCACCGCCTTTTGAACGTCTGTATCATCCCTGAAATTGCGCCCCCGAATTCGACCGTCTCTGAATCGTTCACACTGCTTGTATTCATTTTTCGTTGAAAAAACAACTGTCCCCATATATTGCACACATTCTACGATAATATTTTACTTGGTATAACTCTTTCTGACAGTAAAAATCGAATGACACTTCGCTGTTCAACAGCGGTGCACTCTGAATTCGGGGCTGCCGTTTTAAAAACTGTCAGCGACAATGTTGTCAACTTTATATTCCTGAAACTATGAGTACTACATGTTCAGATATGCAGTAATGAGAGTATGTGGTAATGAGTACATAACTGGTACATAATGTCCGTGAAAAATTTAAATTCATCTTAATTATTGACTCCCCCTCGTATAATGGAAGGACGTCGCTCCTTGAAATCGGATTCTCGAGGACGGAAAAATCGCTCTATTATATCCCGTAATGTGAGTAATTTTTTTCATGGGTAGATACAATTCCTGATATGTCGAACTTCGGATAACTCGAAACGATTTGTCCGATCCCAAAAAGTTTGAGTTAAGGAGTTTTTTTTACTGCATGAGCGTTTTTTTTTCTGTGGGCATCATATCAGTGGGTGCCTCGTCCGAGCACCTTATTTCTCCCGGTCAAAACAAGGCCATGGAAGCGTTATAACATCAGATATCCTTAGAAATAAAGTGATCGTGTAGATGGTTCATGATGATAATCCTATCTTTCTCCACCGAATACTGTACTGTACCTCCCTCTGCTGAAGGACTTGTATGAGCAAGAAAAGCTACTGGCGCAACGCCAAGGTCAGATGGAAAAGTTTCTTAAATATTGGATACCCTTAAACACATTAGTCGAAAGAATGTCTTAAGAAAAAAATCCATAAGGTTTTTTTTTTTAAGTTGATGTCGCAAATTGAGGGGATTTTTTTCAGAGAGTCCTTTTTTTTCTTCTTCTTTCCCCCCCCCCCCCCCACCCTTTCTTCTCCGTGTCTCTCACATGTTTCTCATGTTTCTTACTTTCTTATTTTCACTTTTCATATGAGTGTGTAATACCTGTAAAATTCAGGATAGGAGAAAAGTAATGAGATCCCAAAGCTGGCTAATCAAAACAACCGACTCCAAAAGGTAAGATAATGGAATTTTAAAAGAGAAGAAAGGAAAGGAGCCTTTGGGATCTGAAAGAATAGCAGGATCTTCATCAGGGGCACGATCCTGCTCAAACCTTCAGCGTAGAAAGATCTTTTTCGGTAATCCCACTAGAGCCAAAATAAGCTAGAAGAAAATGAAAGAGTATAACTGAAAGGCTGTTGATTGAAAGAAACCACAACTAAGTCATTCTCAAAATCACCACAAATGCACACCCAATTAGCTAGAGAAAGCTTACGCTCATGCTGCAAGAAGGCAGCCAGTGCAATGTGTCCTGTGAAAAAGGAATTAACGATGCTCAGGAGAGCAGACAACCTCTAGCCGACTAACTGGAGCTTAATTTCATGAAGAAATTAAGCTCCAGTGGGATCCGTGCCCGAAAGATCTATCCACTATCCATGGCTCGATAAGAAAAGAGTGGAGAAAAGGAAAATTCCACAAAAACTGGGAGAATTCACTGGGTAAATTGAATCAAGCGTTGCAATCCGAGCCTGTGTACGTAGACCAAAACTAACTGTTCTAACTGTCCCCTGATCGACAGAAAAAATAATAAAGGGAAGGAGTATGCAGTGAAGGAGGAGAGGCACAGTCGACCATAGAAGGCGAACGGCCTATGTCCACTCCCTGAAATCTGTCCTAGGCCAGGGACTAACCCAGGCCTATGACTCAGAGGNTGTTCGGGATGATTCCTTATTCAATCAGCATAATACTGTAGAATAGGTCTGATCAGATGTGACAACTACAGAGTTTTCCACAAGCACGTGCTTCTGAGCAGAGGGCGTGAGCAAGCGATTCTCAACCTTCCTTCCTGCGCAAGGAGTAACTGTGCGCCGTAGGCAAGCCTACCCTCACTCATTCCAGTGCTGTGGTTCTCTTCCCTTTCTCCCTCCTCGTTCCTGCATTAACTCGCGGGAATTTGAGCCTAGCAAGCGTTGGCAGGCAGCGCCGTGCCTACTCTGGGCGCATAATCTCGTTTTGCTTTTACCTCGCAATGGAAAAAAAAGTATTTACAGCTGTGCTAATCGAATAATTAATTGGCAAATATTAATTTGAGAACTCTGATTTTAAACTGGGTAGGCACTGCCTACCCTGCCTACCCTGACGAGCCGCCACTGCTTGCCATTATTATTATCTCCATGTTCTTTAAACATGAGTTATCCACATCATGTCATCAGAATATGGTTCTATCAATCAGCGCGAGATGGCGTCTAACTGCCGATTTAGCGATTCTCACCCTGGTGCCATTGGAATGAGTCCCCTGTATTTTTCACACAGTAGCCGATCTTTTCTCACGTACAGCTTAGGATAAGACTTTGGAATTCCTATGTAGACCCATTTTAACAGATTCGCTGCTAATCACGGCGATAGCCGTTTTCGTAAAGTCATTCTCTCAGCATCAATGACGACTAGAGCAACTCAAATGCCTGGCAGTGAATGTGTTACGGAGGTAACCGGCAGGAGGATACTCCAGGTAATACTGACCAGGGGGTCCGAGGAGACATGCTGAGTTTTCCTAAGTCTCTACATGGCGATTCAATGGACTCTGGTCCTCATTATCTCTTTCTATGAGAAATAGAGAGTGAAAATGGGCCTGTTTAGATGTGTCTGAGTTCCTCTCCTAACATGAGATAAACTCAGGGGTGATAATAGATATGGAGTTCCTCTACGGGACAGAGAGAGTTGCGTCACTCAAGTACTCAACTCAAATTCTGTAAAAGAAAAACAACCTCAGCAGGATCTCACCGATAGTTTATTACTCAATAGAGTGCTAGCATCCGACCTGCGGATTCTTCCTTAACCCTCCGGAGGGATCCCTCCGTGGGATGACAGTATTTAAAAGAGTACTACTGTATAATCAATATAATGTATTCAATCTAATCAATATTAGCACTCGTTCATCTCAGGAAAAGGAGGTGATACTGATGCCCAAATGTTAACAATTCAACGTTGACACAACGTATTTTCAACGTTGAACTATTTCATTTCACCATTGCTTCAACATTGAAGCAGCGTTGTTCCATTAAATCAACCTTTATTCAATGTTGACAACGTTGCTGAGCCGAATGGGGAGTGGAGTTCCTGAAGGGAGCGAAAAGCACGATCCCATTAACAGAAGATCCGTATGGATCCTAACCAATTTTCGATATACATACGTACTTCACTACTTCAAATCATTGTTCTAAGTGCTCTGCGGATCGATTGGGAATTTGAGTCATGAATTTACGTGGTTCAAATTCCCAATCGAACCGTCTGGTAACCGCTGCGCCATGTGAAAGTAGAACTGTTCCCCCTCCGTAATCATCTGATTAAAAGACTAGCGGATTAAGAGCGATATGGAATGCGACGCCTGATGCTCCGTGCAAAGCAAGAGACTGCATCGCGTGTGTCAGAGCGCATCACTTACTTCGTTTATGATGAAGTTCT